CTATTCTTCACTGCTATAATCAAAACAAAGGACAATTGAAAACTCCATCGACACTACAGATACATGTAGCTTTTACACTGATGCAAAACAGCATGCGGGAAGGAAGGTTTATAATTTTGTTTAAAAATTAGTAAATTCAGTATTTCATAGTCTGTAAAGAGCATAGGATGATAACTGCTTCTAAAGACATCAAAAAAGTACAATAGCTGTGAGATTCAGTTCTACATTTTAGTCTCTCTGAATTTTCAGCAAGGTTGGTTTTATACCACAAACAACTATCAGTTTCTCTATCAGACCCTTGTGCCCATGCATCAAAGCATAACGCAGTCCATTAACCCTAGGCGGCATCAATGTATAGGCTATGTTGTGATTATTGCATGTCTCCATGCTTTATTGGTATTCACAGTTTCTTCCAATGCAAAGCTCTATGCATACTGGAGACTTATTATTCAAACATAAACCACTGGCAACTTTCCTCTTATTCATCTTCCAGTTATACCCAGTACATCAGAAGAAATGAAAATGTGCTCAAATTTCATTCTGTAATTTATCACAAGACCCAAGAATTCTAAGCAGCAGGTAGCCCAACTCCAGAATTTCCTCTTGATATTCATTTTGCTTTTGCTGGGATTCTTCTGCATACAAACTCTGCACCAAAGCAAACAACCAACAAGCAACCATCTCAAGATCAAGAGCTGAAATCAATGCACATGTCCCCGGACCTGATTTTGATTTGGTACTTTAAGCATTGAATGTCTCTTTCTGTACACTGACACATTATAATTTTTATGTCTTGAAGTCCTTGTTTCATTTTAGCTCCTTTGAACCTCTTTGGGTTTATAAATAGGGTCCTTATTATGGTCTGCATCTGGCTTCCCTCAAAGACTTTTCCAAAAGCCCTGGAGTAGAGCGGCCTATTTTTGTGCTCTCTTGAGGAGTCTTGTTCCCTAGTTCTCCCTCTCTGTAGTTTGTTCCAGGCTGTTGGCTGCCTGATGTTTTGATGCCTCTGTCCATTAACTAACTCTTGCCTTTCAACAACTGAGCTTCAGTGTCTTATTTACTGCCTCCCTCCTTTCAGCTTCTGGCTTACTACTTCAGTCTGTGTGTCAACAGAATCCCTGGCAACTTCCTGGCTCAGTCTCTGCCCCTTCTGCAGATTGCTCTCTCCAATTCAGCTTTCCAAAAACAGCTATTCAGTAGCTCCAAGGGGGGAGGATTTTATCCTTAGTTTCGTAGTCTGTGCTCATTTTCATGATTATTAAGAGGCAAAAGACTGACACTTTTAGATAAATGACTACCTACATAGTGACACATAAAGGTTTAAGAAAGAGGTTCTGCCCCTGAAGGCTGATATCTCTCAGAACAGACTCATTTCCCACTTTTACAACATGTGCTCTTTCTAGGGATTCCCTGGCCAAATGGATATATTCTTGTCTGTTTATCTTTAGGTTTCCTTCATGGGCACAGTGTGAGGCTATCTCACATGGCATTGCGTATTGTAATTCATTTTATAATTTTGTGCCCTCTTAAGATCAAAACACATCTGTACAGCAGTGATGCTTAAATCTTACTGCTTAAAACAAGAATACCACAGCAACAGGACCCAATATGTGGTTTGTGAATTTAAAAATACACAATTAAAAGGCATATTACTATTAAGTTATCAATTAGGGGACTATGAAACAGAAAACTCTAAAAACAATTGTATATATACTCAACACAATGATTCTACAAGGAAAAGCATTCAAGAATACCAGTATTCAAGTCTGAACAAATCCCAGCCATTCTTTCCCTCAAAGCTACAGAAGAGCTGTTCTAGTTTGTCATCACCTGTACTTTCCAGGAATGAAGGATGAGTAAGAGGGCAGAATAAAGATAAGATAAAAAAATTATACAAATAAACCAGGATTTTCTTAGAAATCTCATCACATTTTAGATGTCTCACAAGATGAAATGATAGATTGTCTCTCCAGAAAATGAGTTTGTGGGTTGTTTATTGAATAGAGCACTAACGGCTAACTAATTGGAAGAGTTGATATAGATGAAGCAGACTACATGAAGTCAGGTAATAGCTGCTAAGGTCTCCAGCTGTATGAGTGAGCATGAGCATTCCTTTCAATCTACCAGCTTCAATCCTGATTGAAGGTATGGGTTTCATGAGAACCCTAACATGACACCTCTCTAATTTTTATTAAATATTTTCTTGGACTTCACAAATACTGTTTTTTTTTTGTTTGTTTGTTTGTTTTTTAACAAGACAGGGTTTCTCTGTATTGTTTTGGAGGCTATCGGTCCAGCCCGGCCTCGAACTCACAGAGATCCGCCTGCCTCTGCCTCCCGAGTGCTGGGATTAAAGGCGTGCGCCACCACTGCCCGGCTACAAATACTGTTTTTCTTGAACACTGTCTATATTATCCCTGGCACAGAGATTCAATTGGTGACATAACACTTGCCTTTCAAGCTATACCCTGTGTCCTAGTTAAAGATATTATTACTGTAATTAAACGCCATGAGAAAAAGCAAGTTGACAGGGAAAGGGTTGATTTGGCTTACAGTTCCATACCACTGTTCATCACTAAAGAAGCTAGGACAGCCCTGTCTCGTAAAACCAAAAAAAAAAAAACAAAAAACAAAAAAAAACAAAAAAACAAAACAAAAAAAAAAAAAACAGGGAAGAACCTGGAGGCAGGAGTTGTTACAGAAGCCATAAGGAGTACCTGCTACTGGCTTGCTCCTCATGGCTTGCTCAGCTTGCTTTCTTACAAAATCCATGACCACCTGCCCAGGGTGGCCCCAGCTACAATGGGTCAAACCCTCCCATATCAATCAAAAATTAAGAAAATAACCTGCAAGCTTGTCTACAGCCAATCTTATGGAGGACGTTCCCTTCTGTCCAATGACTGTGGCTTGTGTGAAGTTGACATAAAATTCATCAGCACACTTATTGAGCTGAATTTACAAAATAAAATCAAGATATTATGTGGCCACTGAAGAGGTACTAAGCCAGGGCATGTGTTGTGTGCTATTGGGACTTCAGTATGGAAAAGAGCATCATATAAGGTGCAAGTTAAGATGAAAAGGACTCACCAAATGAAGTTATATAGAAGGGCATTTGTATATGAAGGCATAGAGAAGGTGAGAGGGGAAACATTCTGGTATTTGTAAATGTTTCAGTGAACGACAAAACAAAGTTCAAGAGCATACACAACGATAATGAGATAAGCTAGGAGCAAAGTAAGCAAGAAGAAAGACAAAAGACACTGACACATTTTAAATGATTATTAATTACATGCTCTAGGGAAATTAGTCTAGTACCAGTGGGTACAATTAATTGGTAAGAGGTAAAACCAGAGACAGGGAATTCAATGAAGGAACTCTCCTCTAATTGTCTAACATAAAGTTATAAACTAAAACAGTAGTACCAGAGGATTTGAAAATGCAAAGACTGATCTCATAGATATTAAGCAAGTTCAAAATTAAAAAGCTTATTAGCCAGGTACTCTTGAGCAGGGAACAAAGGAAGCCTGCATGCTGTGAGCAGAAATGAAGATAAAAATTTACCAAAGTTCTTACTTTTTTTCATTAACTCATTGATTCAACATGGTACATTTTGGATAATGTGATATCTTACCCGAGTGCAACATAGCACATACAGCTACTTATACAGTATATTTTACACTTCATTAATTCAGGTCCTGAAACAGTTCAAACACAAAAAAATCAATCTGCCAAAGAGAAGTCGATGACCTATACACACTACTTTTTCTTTAATTATGATCTGATGTGCACATACGTGTATTCTACAACTTGCCTATTGTGAATAGTGTCACATTCAACGTGGATATGCAGGGATCTTTTTGTTGTGCAGATTTTAGTCTTTGGATATATGCCCCTAACTGAGATAACTGGGTCATGGTGGTAGATCTTAGTATGGGCAATGATTTTTTTTAAAGACTAACACCTAGGCACAAGAAACAAAAGCAAACAGACAAATACAATTATAACAAACTACAAGGACTTTCCCAAAGTGCAGAAAATACTCAGCAATGTATTTTTTAACTGTCATCAAAGAGCCACTTCCTACAACAAATCTAAAGGACAAAGGAAAAATATGCAACACTAGAATCTGTTAAACAAAAAACAAGCTTGTTCACATCAAGTCTCCATGGTGATCTACTTAGTAACCTTCAAAACTATAATTAATGAAACAATAAAGTCATCATTTTGGCAACTGCAGCAATGAAAAATCTGCTGATAAAATTCAGGAAAAGAATCCTTAAGAAACATCATAGGAGCTTCACAAAGACAATGCAAATACGGGGTTACATAAATAACATACACAAAACTGTATTTACATTCCAATTCCAGAGACAATTAAAAGAAATGCTAAGAAAGAAACAAGCAGTAGTTTATGCATATTCTATATCCTGCTTTTCTATTATCTATAAAGGTGCATCCCTTCCTGCTGCCTCAGGTTTGAGAAAGCTTCACTGAAGAATAAGTTCCCAAAGTAATTCCAGTTTACCAGTGAAAGCAAACATCTTGGAGGATCCCCTTAGTCTTTCCAAAATCCTGATCTCATCTGTTTGTCTGTTATGGTATTGCTAGTCCTTAAGGACAATAACATCAATAGATGTAGTTACCAATGTGTGCAATCAAATTAATGATACAATATTGTGGTTATATGCCTATAACCTGTTCTGAAGAGTTGAATAGGGTCTGTACTTCCCCACCCAGGAGTTTTATAATAGTACCTGCTTCAAAGAAGTGTTGTGGAAAGAAATGTTCACTCCACCTAAGTCTGACACAGAGGGAGTTTGAATTATACAGTGCATATTAACAATGTCCAGGGAGATGTTTCTGCATTTTACTTGAGAGATGAGATAAAACCTAAGAGTCACTGATCTGTCCAACATCATTATTGATTTCTATAGTAAATATGAAAACAAGGATTCAAGCATAGTTATTCAACAAAACAGGGACTAATGTAAGTACTGTACCTGGCTGCTGGCTTCAAAATGACAAGACAGGAATCTGCAAAAGAAAACATTATCCCTGGCACACAAATAGATTTTGGGTGCCCATCCCACAATGAAAGATGCTCTCTCAGCCTGGACTCTTGGGGGAAGGCCTAGGCCCTGCCCTGGATGAAGTGACAGACTATGGACAACCCCCATGGAGGACCTCACACTCCCTGGGGAAAGGAGTGGGGATTGGGGGAGGGGTGATGGGGGTTGGTGGGAGGGCATGGGAGGAGGAGAGGGAGCTGGGATCGACATGTGAAGCAACCTTGTTTCTAATTTAAATTTAAAAATAAAAAGAAAGAGAGGAAGGAAGGAAGGGAAGGAGGGAGGGAGGGAGGGAGGGATGGAGAAAGGGAAAGAGGGAGGGAGGGAGGGGAGGAGGGAGGAAGGGAGGGAAAGAGGGAGGAAGCAAACAAAAACAATTACAACTTAATACAGTAACCCTACAAACATTGCATTGAGAACACAAAACATTCAGGAAATTATTTAAATAATCAATAGCATTTAGTCTAGGAAAGTAAGAATAGGAGAAAGTAACTACTATTATCAAATTTACAGTCATATATTTTAAAATACTATACGCAATTTAAGGTCACAAGGACTATTTAAATACTTTTAAAAGATTTTTAGGAAAACAAATACAAAGAAGACTATCAGTTATAAATAAATACTCTGCTGGTCTTGACTGAGAGTATTTGATAAGAAGTTCTTACTGGGTGGCAGGGAAAAGAAAGCTAAGATCCCTGGACATGATACAAACATGAAGAGTGTTTTCATTTCAAGTTCAGTGGCTATAAGGGAGCAGCAGGCTTCTGAGGAAGTCTCAAGATTTGTGTCTTTTTCACATGATGAACTATTACTTTTTTTAAGAAAAACAAACTCAATAATTGAGTTGTCTTGTTTAATTATTAAAGTGCCCATGAATTTAACAAGAAGGAATTATTCACAGCAGTTTACCATAACAAGGTTATTACCACCAAAACCCATATATACCTCTGTAATAATTAATATCAGTATATATAATTATATAATTTCACAATTACTAAATGACATATTAATATGAGATGAAGAACTTCAGCAATCAAATATCCTCATATTATGCTTCTAAACTGATCCTAGATATGAGCAGGGATAAGCACCAGAAAAACATCACTGCCATTTGTGGAAAGTTACCCGCTATATATATGCTGGTCAACCTAGCATAAAAAGAAGGCTCATCACTAGCCAACAGCAAAATGAGATCTAAAAAAAATATGTAAATTTCACATAAACATATGATTATACAGTCACACCAGGGGGCGCTCTTAACACTAAAATGATGGACGATGTATTCTAAAACACTTGGTGGTCTCAGCTGGTCAAAAGAAAGATTTCTTTTTCTAACTATGTACTACATACAACAAATGCTTATCTCTTGTATGTGTTTGCTGACAAGACACACATTTTCTTCTGCTTCCTACTGTTTGTGTGGTTAACACTGTGAGGTTAGTCTATCAAGGAAAACATTTTCTTCTGATAGGAAATGTTTTATTTTGGAAACATTTTGTCAACTTAACTCACATCTGCCTCTTATTCTTCCCATAGTTGGACTGATTCCCATTAACATAAAGAGTGTTGATGAGTGCATACACTTAAAATATGGCACCAATGTAAATTTTATTTCTTACTGAACTCCTTATCAGAGAGTTTAATTCCTTTCAATCCCCCATATAAAAAGGAAGCATGATATGATGTGCGTGTGAGTGACTGAGATTCTCTGTGTGTGTGTGTGTGTGTGTTACTGCTAAGAAAGCACTGTACAACTGTGCTTTATCCTAAACCCATTTTTTACTCTTTATTCTAAGGAAAGCACTGTGCAAACAGCTCCAGCAGACTTGAATTTGTGATCTTCTTATCCAAGTCTTGCCTTGTAGGGGTTACAACCACTGTCAGACCCGGCGGAAGTGGGATGCTAAAGTTATTCAAAATGGAAAATTGTAGTGGCATTCTAATCTTCGCCATTCTAACCCACTCCCCTCATTTTCTCATTACCTGCAGAGTCACGCGAGCCAAGCGCAGATGCTCTCCTCCAAAAGATCTGATGACTCAGCTTCCTAAAAGCACAGAAGAACCAACGTGAGCTTTCAGAGGAACAATAAATGAGGAACAGTCAGTAGATTGTGTCAACACAAAACCATTACATACTACGTACTCCATTAGAATCACATGATTACATAAGAAGGACACCTAATTAAAATAAATGTTATAAAATGACTCAAACTTGGAATGAACGCAAAGTATGGGAAAAGATGAAATCACACCTGTCTGCCTATATTTTTAGGAAAAGGGTTTGTAAGTTTTTCTCAACCCCAGTTGAGAAAACTATTTTATATATAAGCAACCTCTATAAGTAGCATCCACCTGTAGTCAGTTGACATGAAGAATTCTGGCTGAGGTCCACTTGCTATATTGATGTGAATTTAGGAAACAGTAGTAATACTTTTTACAGTTTGTACCCCAAAACCAAGTCAATAACACCTCAAAGTAAAATTATAGAAAGGAAACACATACATCTATTTAAGATTTAGACTGAATACACATGGATTGTAGGAAGTCTTATCCCACAAGGCAGACTCTCACATGGTTTTGGAGCATGTGTAGCAACAAAAAAGAAACAAAAAAGAACATGGAACAAATAGGAGACAGGCCACAGAGATGAAAACTCTGTAGAAAAGAACAGAAAACTGCCATTACTTACTTTATGTCCTTGGTTTTGGAATAAAAGTTCTGAGAGATTCAACAAAGTACATACAGCCTTGTTTGAAGAAAACCAACACCTAACAGAATATAATCTGACAGACAAAAGCTGCGAGTCCCCATGAAAAGCAAAATTCGAGCAGTGATCCTGGGGTTCTCTGTGGCCAATCTTAGAAGCAGGTCTGGAATTAGTTTCAAGAAAGGAAGAAATCAGTCAGTCTCCATTAGGGCTGGAATAGAGAGGCAAGTGTTACCTAGTAACCGGAAGTGACATTTCAGTTGATGACAGGGACACAAGCCAAGAGGTAAGAAATAAGAAGTCTGAATAAATTATACTTCTGCAAGAAGTTAAGATTCTAAGATTTAAGCAAAGGGCTAAAGACCCAAAGATGAGAGTGACTACATTCACCCACTCACACACCTGCTCGCTCATTTAATAATATTAAAGGAATACCTATGTATGTTCCAGGTACACACTTAATGTTTTAGAATAGAAGAAGCAACGAAACATAGATCCCTGCATTCATGAAATTCACATTCTTGCAGGGAACAGGGATCCTAAACAAGATCTAGTATGATATCAGATTTGTAAGATGTTTAAATGTCATGACAAAGGAGAGGAGAGTCAAGCCTTGTGAGGGTAATTTGAAATAAAGAACAGGAAAAGCAGAGTAAGAACGCTTTTAGATCTCCTTTCCCACATAGAGAAAAAGGCCTCAAGTAACAGGAAAGGGCCCAAAAAGTGGAAGTGTGCTTCATCTACTTAAAGGATAGCAAGTTAGCAAGTGTTTGGAATGGAATACAAAATTTTCAAAAAGAAAAAAAGAATAGAATATGTAGTTGTTTTGCAGAGAATAAAGCAGGAGGAATTTTGGTGAAAAAGAAATAGTTTGAAAGTAGGTGGGACAAAACTTTATGATAAGTGAATCTGACATGTAAGAGAACACAGAATATGCAATGATACACATGTCTGATTTGAGCAACTGAAAGGAAAGCTGATAATTAGTGGCCCTGAAAATCAGGCAATAGGAAAAACTGATTGAGGAAATATGAGCTATCTAGTAGGTCTACTTTAAAGCCCATGGAATAAGGGAATGAGTGGCAAGAGAGGGGGTAAGGTAGATAACTATCCCTAGTCTTGGAGTGGTCCACTCTTCAACTTCTGATGTGCATACCCCTCATTATTCCCATCTCCTGGAGTGAGGACAAATGGTCCAACTTGTTTATAACCCATAAAATTAGAGAAGCAACAAAATTTCTCCAAATTACACACCATAATTATATAACTTCATTAATATGATAACTTTAGCCTTGCCTGCGTTTTTCTCTCTAGTCAAATTCTGCAAAGCAAATACACATCACGGAACCTGCATGGACAAGAACTAAGGACATCCTCTAGCTGCCACTTTGCAAAGCCACCAGTTTCCACTCAGCCAAACAGCAATCCCTTCCTTCCCATAGCCTTCAGGAAATAAATTCTTCCAGAAATCTGAGCAAGTATGAAAATAAATCTCAAGTTATTCAGATACCATCCCAGTTGCAGATGACAGCCTGAGTGCAGTCATAAAAAAGGATTCAACTGAGTTATGACTAGACTTCTGCTCCATAGAAAGTGAGAGCATAAAATGGGTGTTATTTAAAAACAACAAGTTTATGGTCATTTGCTATGCACCAGTAGAAAGTAATATAAACCCTAGGTGGCTGCAAAATTTAGACACCAGAGAGACATGTAAGACAAAGAAAATGAGGAAGACAGAAAGGCAATGAAGTTAGAGAGAAATTAAGAGAATGTTTTCCAAGAAACAGGTTGCTAGCTTTCTGCAAGAGGCAGATACAAAAAAAAAAAGGATAAGCTGGGCCTGTGGTCTTGCTAGAAGCTGCTAGGTAATAAGCCATTACAGTTTCTGTGACAAACCAGGTCCAGCCACTTACTTCCAGCTTTAGAGTCCTCCTTCCCACTTCCTAGGACAAATGGTGAGAAGAGTTGATATTATATAGGGACTGGTGAAAGCCAGAAAATGTCTGCATTCTTTCTGCTATAGGTGCTCATGCACTAATAAACCTAGCTCTTCCACTGAACACTTTTGCGGCTGATATTCTTGCAATGATGATTTATTCTGCAAACGTTTGGGAAAGTATTGGAGCTTTGTAGTAATCTAGTCAGCTGTTATTTGCTAAAGTAAGTGACATTTAGTCTTATTAAAAGCCTTGGAAGACCCAATTAGTACCGAAGCTGTGACACTTCACTGTTTATAAGGCTTTGAAGGTTGATATTTCAAAACTGGCTAACAACACCAATCATAGTTGGCTCATTTTAATTACTAAGTAGCTATCCTAACCTATTTTTAAACATTTCATTGTGGTGCTACATGCTTAGATTGCCTTGTAATTTATTTTTCAAAAAAAAATCAATAGAAGTCAATCTAGTAACATGTATTATATTCAAGGTTCTGAGCTAACTAGGTCTTGTTCAGTCAAAGTGCTCACTGCTGCTTTCTGTAACATCTAGACTCTGTGTACAAATTTAAACTATTTATAAAGTGCTGTCACATAAACAAAGACTGCTGGGCCCTACAGTGATTAGTATTCAGCATTTATCTAGATTTATCTATGGAGAGCATCCCATTTTCTTACACCAATGAAGATTTATTGAGGACTTCCTCAGTTACATAAAGGCACAAGTTGGATAAAAAGCAGAGAAATATTTAAAGTTGCTTTTTTAAAGAACATCTCAAATGTAACCTTCTACTTCTTCCATATATATAAAATTATAAGGAGTATTTATATTTAATATGCACACCTTTAAAAGGATTTTTCATGTGGTAGTAATACAAATGTCTTTTGCAACATGAGACATACCCTAGGTCTCACTCTATTGTTTAAGGTATAGAGTAAATAAGTTCCTCTGGTTTTACTTCGCTCTCTCTTCATTATCTTAATTTTAATAGTATTTTTTAAACTTACTAATTTGAAACACATCCTGATGTGGAGAAAAAAACTACAAAGAATGTTTTACCTTTCATTCATTTCCCCTAATGTTAACATGTCATATAAAGTATAGGATCTTAACAGTAATACAATATTATTAACTAAAACAGTCCTGATTTGATATTTACTCTGTAAATGGCCTTCTCCCATCCCAAGATTCTTTCCAGGTCCCCATGTTAAATTTAGCTGTTAATTCTCCTTAGCATCATCTGACTTTAGTAGTCTCTGAGTCTTCACATTTATTTCATAACCTAGAAGCATTTTTGTTTGTTTGAGACATGGTTGGCCTCCAGTTCATCATGCCCACTTCTTCACTTACTGAGTCCTAGAGTTATAAGAATGTCTACCCTGTCTTGCTACAAATCCTATTTTGGAAAAGTAGTGACCAGTTAGTATGTAGAACATATTTATTAACTTTCACCAGACCTATTTGGAATTAGAATGAACTAACAAATATTTCATAAGAATACCACAAAAACAGTGTTATAAAGTTCTCAGGAAATCAAACCGAGAGCGTTAATAACAATACTAATGTATATTATTTTCAATGACAGATACCTTGATTGTCTGATTAGGCTGGCATCAGAATTTTCCAAACAATATTGTATTTACTAGGTATACTGAGAAGATACTTTAGTCCATGTACATTTTGTTCTTCCATAACCTTTTTCCAACTAGTTGTAACACACTTCTGAGATTGTCTGCCACATGTATACAGTGCTATTTCACATAACTCTCTATTTTTCTCCTTTAAATTAGCCATTTTCTCTCATGTATCTTATCTGCTCACTTTTTGAATAATTCATTGATACCAATAATGATTCAAACTTACTTTATTTTGCTCTTGATGTTATCATCAAATACTGTTGTTTATTTTGTTGCTTAATTAGTTCCAACTTTGTTCATTAATAGCTTTTTCAGGTTGTCTCCTATACTATTCTAATAAATAATTATCCTTTCATTTCTGCATTTTTTACTTCTAACATTACATGATACTGAAAAAAATAGTCCATAGTTTTCTCATTCAAACCTTAAAATTGACCATTTATCTGAAGAATTCTTTTTTATAATTTTATTTTGATTGGCAATACTTTTGGCAATCTATGACCTATGTACTGGCTATAGTTATTGCTAATGCCTCTGAGATGCTCAAGACATAGCTACCACATACATGCAAAAATATACAAATATTTACACACATTTCATTTTCATAATTTATTACTGAATTTAGATATTTATCTGCAACCATTCCATCCATTCTTGAGACACTTTTGCAGTTATTCAATTTACTGCAGAGCAATGCTATGACATAAGAGCAGAACAGTGAAAATCCTGAGCCACCAAACCTAGTGTAAGGCAATTCTTAGTC